GTTGTCAGTCGACAGAAGCACAGGAGAAGAAGTGGAGAATGATTCCGGCCGTCTTAGTTCCTCTTCTTTTGTCTCATTTCAGCGGTGACTTTGACGGTCAGTTTGTTTGTTTGTTTGTTTGTTTGTTTGTTTGTTTGTCTGTGATGTGATTGGGACGTCGTCAACCAAAGATTTCTGTGTCGGGGGACAAAAGGGGATGTCGCCCCGAGGTCAGTCAGAGAAGCTGTCGATCACCTGTAACTGTGTCACAGTCAGGTGGTTGGAACATCTGTGAGGTCAGAGGTCAGAGTGCGGGGGTCAGGACCGACCCAGTCCCACATCAGAGTCAGGATTTCCTTTGTTTCACACAGGTGAAGAGCACCGCTGTCTGTACGTCAGAGCCGGCGCCGCCGTCACTCTGCCGTGTCTGGGAGGGCGTGGCTGTGCTGGAAGTCCCTGGACCTACAGGAGAGGAGAGAAGAACCCACTGGTCATCCGTAAAGGGAAAACCACGAGGTTCCCTCCAGGGGCTGAGGGCGGAGTCATGAGGGTGGAGGACGACTGCTCTCTGATCGTCACCAACGTCACTGGCCACAACTCTGGACGCTACTCCTGCTCCAGACTCAACGAATACAACGCCCATTTCCTGAACGTCCTGACGGGTGGGTCCAGCTCCACCTCCACCTCCAGCTCCAGCTCCAGCTCCAACTCCACCTCCAGCTCCACCACAGGGAGAAGTCGCAAACAAACAAATAAAAAAACAAAAAAAACTCCTCAGCACCGTGCTACCCAGGGATTATTTGATTAAACAGTACCAGACGCGCTAATGCTAGCCAGGAAGTGCCACGACTGCCATTAAACACAGTTAAAGTTACTGCTAACTGACTGCTAACGTGCTAGTAAACAGTTTTTTACCCCAAAAAAAATAAAGCTAGGAAAAATGTTTAGAAAACAGATTAGTTAGCATGCAGTATTTGTTTTGTATTGTATGCAGTATTTGAGAGGAAAAAAATACTACAAAAACAAAATAGTTTATAATTGACATGGACTGATAATAATTACAAAAAACAAGTTAATACTAGAAAAAACCCATGTAAAACAGGTGAAAAGTCATTTAGCATCACAGAGAGCTGTTAGCTGTTAGCCGTTAGCCGTTATCTTACTGACACATTAAAAAAAAAACTATTCTGGAAGAATACCTCCTTTTATAGACTGCTGTGTTTTCTCCAGTGTCCTCGTCTCCGTCACATGGCGGTGACCTCCAGTTGACCTGCTCCATGGACCGCTTCTTCCATCCAAAGCCCGTCTGTAGAGGGAGGAAAGTCCGCTGGGTGAATCAAGACGGGCTGGAGCTGAGCAACACCTGGTGTGGTGGGAAACAGACAAGCTGTCAATCAAACCTGTCTGTGACCAACAACAGCAGCAGTACCTTCACCTGCCAGGTGGTGGATGACTACAACTACCCCCTGGTCCAGGGCAGGTTCTCACCCATCATCAAAGAGAATAAGAGAACTGGTAACTCCTCTGGTAACTGGTGCAGTCGTAAAAACGGCAACAATTATGGTATTTGAGCAAAGTGATTGTAAACAGACGTAGCTCGGGGTCCAGGGGATTCCACTAGGGGGCACCAATGTATGCACACAGATGAGTACACTGAGCAAAGGTGGACAAACACGTGGTCCTGACCAGTGCTCCAGGTCTTCGTCTGTGCTGGTCTCCCTGGGGACTCCTCGTATACGTGCTGCTGTATGTTTTACTTGTTGTAAAAATGTTGTAGTTTTTCTTCTGCCTGGAGCAGTTGTTGAACTGACGTCTCTTGTCCAGCTTCAACGGACTCCCCTGCCCTGGACGGCTCCTCTGATTGGCCCCCTCTGAGGTGCATCATGGTCACACTGAGAATCACAGCCCTGGTCCTGATGGTTTTCATCACAGTTGTCATCGTCAGAGACACTGGTGAGTGAACTACAGCTGAACTACAGTTAAACTACAGATAAACTACAGCTAAACTACAGCTGAACTACAGCTAAACTACAGCTAAACTACATATAAACTACAGCTAAACTACAGCAAGACCGGTCAGCTAAACTACAGCTGAACTACAGCTGACCTACAGATAAACTACAGTTAAACTACAGCTAAAATACATATAAACTACAGCTAAACTACAGATAAACTACAGTTAAACTACAGCTAAACTACATATAAACTACAGCTAAAATACATATAAACTACAGCTGAACTACAGTAAAACTACAGCTAAACTACAGTTAAACTACAGATAAACAACAACTGAACTACAGCTGAACTACAGATAAACTACAGTTAAACTACAGCTAAACTACAGCTGAACTACAGTAAAACTACAGCTAAACTACATAGAAACTACAGCTAAACTACATATAAACTGCAGCTAAACTACAGCAAGACCGGTCAGCTAAACTACAGCTGAACTACCGATAAACTACAGCTGAACTACCGATAAACTACAGCTGAACTACCGATAAACTACAGCTGAACTACCGATAAACTACAGCTGAACTACAGTTACACTACAGCTAAACTACAGATAAACTACAGTTAAACTACAGCTAAACTACAGATAAACTACAGTTAAACTACAGATAAACAACAGCTGAACTACATTTAAACTACAGATAAGCTACAGCTAAACTACAGCTAAACTACATAGAAACTACAGCTAAACTACATAGAAACTACAGCTAAACTACAGATAAACTACAGTTAAACTACAGCTAAACTACAGATAAACTACAGATAAACAACAGCTGAACTACATTTAAACTACAGATAAGCTACAGCTAAACTACAGTACAGCTGAATTACAGCTGAACTACAACAGTGTGACAGAAGTTCACAGTCATCCTGACGTTTGTTTGTTCCACAGGATGTTTGAAAGAAAAAAGATGGCGCTGAGTTCAGGAAATGTGGTCACCATTTCTCGTCCACAAATATCACCCCCTCCAGACCTCCCCCAGACCCCGCCCCCCTGTTTTATTGAAACAGTCAGTAATCTGTTGGTGTGTAGTCTGAAGAGTTGACGTACATGTGCTGCGGTTGGATTTCCAGTTCCATACGTTTGTCTGAGGTGAAGATTCAAATGTCACTGTATGATGTTAACAACAACGATGATAACAAACAATAAAGATCTAACAACAAAGGATTCTTCTGATGGATTCACTCCACTTTAAACACTCCTTCACTCCTGCTCCTGGTCCTGGTCCTGGTCCTGGTGTCACTCTTGGATTATTTCAAGAATATTGTGTCAAACGTTTTATTTTCTGAAGTGGAACGTTCAGTAAAGTCAGCAACATTTCAAAAGTTTCCCAAACCGATTCTCTCTTCAGTTCAAAGTCGTCTTTTTTTGATCACATTTGTATTTTTGGTTTTATATCCTGAGCCATTTTAACAATAAACGCAGGGGAAATGACTGCGTCCACTTCAGATGGACAGGACTTTATTTTGAAGACCTCCTCCAGTAACTTCCGGCGATAGTTACGGATGTGTAAACGTTAACCACGAAGAAGCCGAACCCTCCGTGAACAGCCTCCGATGCCGGTGTGTCCTTTGAGTTTTGCTTCGTTGTCTGTTTGTCACCCACACAACGAAGAACTGGTTTAAAGTGGTTTATTTTTAGCCACATTTACCGACCGGAAGAACCGCAGCAGCTCCGTCTCCCAGCAGATTTAGGAGCTTTGAGAGTTTCCCACGTAACTGTAGGTAGATGACGTCAGAAGATGAAAAGGTGCTAGTTCAACTCCATTCCCCTGTGTTCTTGTTTTGGTCGTTTCTCCCCGAAATCCAGCCAAGCTGGACACTGCGGTGAGTTTGATTGTGTGTCCGCGCAGCTCGTACGGGCGGAGCACTTGGAGCGTCAAGCGGTTCGTATCCCACCGCTGCTGTCATCCGAACTGAACCAGGATCATGGAATAAACATGGCTAACAACAGAAGCCTGTTCTTCGAAGGTGAGCACTGACAGTCCGCTGCACTGCTCCAGCTCTGCATAACGTGCTTTACCCGCTGTCCTACAGTTTCGCACCCCGTGAACAGCCGCTTGTCTCCGCACAAATCCGCTGCAGAATCCGCGGATGTTCCTGGAGCTATATGGCTTACCTGGCTGCTAAAGTTAGCGGAGGTTACTAGGACTTCAAAACCACTGACTGCAGCACAGCTGTGGGTGAACACAGAAGCCGAATTATGGAAGTGGAAATGTACAGCACCGGATGAAACCTTTCTGAGTTCGATTCGGTTTTGAATTAGTTTCACAAACACCCAAAACGAAAATTGTTAGCCTCCGTGGTTAGCACAGCTAGCTCCTAAATTAGCACCAAGGAATATAAAGAAGGAAGGCCTTAATTGGCCTTAAAGGCAGATTATTTTACAATGATTCTTTACAAACAAGTTTGAAAAAAACAGAACAATTAAATAAATTGATAAAATGCTATTTTGTCCCAGCATCCTCCTCTGGTTGCGTAGAGAAGCCACTAACATTAGCATCATTAGCAGTTTCATGTGAGTGGCTCTACCTATGCTGCATCTATGGGAATTATCACTTAAATATGTTTTGTTGCTAAAACGATGAAAGCAAACATTTAATAACGAATTCTGATTTGTAATTCATAATATAATCTGCATTAGCTTCCTGTGTCGTCCATGTTAGTCCTAAACCTTAGACTTTCTTCTTTGTCTTATGATTATCTGTGTCTGAGATAACCTTTATGTCTTTCTTGTTTTTTTATTGTATGCTATCAGATCAAGCTTTAATAGCCTTTGACCCCCCCGCCCCCCGCCCTGACATCTTTGATCTGTGTTTGTGCGAACTTTCAACTTTTTATTTTATCCTGAACAGCAGCTTGCAGAAGGACCTGCAAAGAGCTTGATGTGTTTGATTCCAGACGACCTTCTGTCTGACTTTGTTATTGTTTTGTGTGGAGGTGTTTTCTCCTGCACTGACTCCTGTCTGGTTCTCCCAATTCCAGCCCTAAACAGATCAGAGAGCAGGAGAGATGGAGGCTACAAAAACAGCTGGAGCTTTTCTCTGTCCACTGATAGTGAGGAGCAGAGGAGACACGAGTAAGATCCTCCATCATCCTCACTGCTGACTCTCCTCATCGAGGACCATCTCTGGGTCTTTAACATGAGTTTAAGGAAGCTAAAATCTCTGATTTTCTCCATGGACTTTGGTCTGAACTAAAGCTCAAACCATTCTTCATGTTTTCCTCCATCAGTGGGAGTGTGGTGAACATGGAGGAGATGGACAGACCACAGGTGGCCTCAGCAGAGGAGAAGAAGGTCTGGGTCTTTGTCACTTTATAACCCCGTGTATTAATAAGTTCAAGTAGACGTATAGGCTGTGTTCATATCTGTGTGTGTGTGTGTGTGTGTGTGTCCAGTCTCCTGCTCTCAGACATTTATCCTCCTCTGACCCACTGAGAACCTATGGAAACAGGTCAAATATTCCCATGAGGCCACAGAACAGAGTGGGAACAAAAAAGAGCAGGTATGACGTGACAGAGGGGTCAGAAGGAGACGGTGACCGTGATGGTGATGATGGGATGTTACTGTCGTCATGACTACCGACACTCACCTTTTTCTCTTCCCTGCAGTGACTTCTCTCTCACCAGAGCGACCTCGTCTCCGCCGCCGAGCAGAACAAACTATTTGATCCTGAACCCGGCACCGTCCCAGGGTGTAGTTTTACAGGGCCGTCACTTCCAGCATGCACAGCTGCCTTCTGTCCAGGGGAAACCAGTGCAAAGGTCAGGACAGTGAACGGCACGGTCGGCCATTTTTCTTGTCTTTCCGGGATTGGACCAGAGGTCATTTTGATTGACCTCTGGTTTTTAGTTGAGAGACTCGTCGATCCACTGATGCTCCATCACTTCTCATGAGTTATACCAATGTTGAAAATCCTTTGTGCAGTGACACACACTGACCACAGGAGGCAGCAGTGGAGCAGCTGGTCTCAGTTAGAACTTTTTCTTCCGTGCGTCTCAAAGCCTTGTCTTTGTGTTGTCTTCTGTCTGTCCCTGCTCCACAGCACAGAGCAGCCTGAGGAGGTGGACAGGATCGCCCTCACCTGTCCAGAGAGTCCAGGTACCAGTCCAACTCACCCCTCACCCTCACCCCTCACCCTCGCCCTCACCCCTCACCCTCTCCCCTCACCTCTCACCCTCTCCCCTCACCCTCTCCCCTCACCCCTCACCTCTCTCCCCTCACCCTCTCCCCTCACCTCTCTCCCTCATTTGTGATTTGAGAAACAGTGTGGACGCCGTGTGTTGTTTTTACCGTTTCAGAGGACGGATCTCTGAGTATCCGACGTCGTGTTCAGCAGAAGAAGAGACCTGTGGGCGACTGCTGCCCCCTGGCTTCACAGCTCAGAGCTGCTGAGGTAAACGTTCGATCAACAGAGACACATGTGAGGGGCAGCAGGGTTTGAAAGAACCAGCTGAAGATGACCATAAAATATACAGAAGAACTAAAAGTTAGCTGCTAAAAGTTAGCTGCTGAAAGTTAGCTGCTGAAAGTTAGCTGCTAAGAGTTAGCTGCTGAAAGTTAGCTGCTAAGAGTTAGCTGCTGAAAGTTAGCTGCTGAAAGTTAGATGCTAAAAGTTAGCTGCTAAAAGTTAGCTGCTAAAAGTTAGCTGCTGAAAGTTAGCTGCTAAGAGTTAGCTGCTGAAAGTTAGCTGCTGAAAGTTAGATGCTAAAAGTTAGCTGCTAAAAGTTAGCTGCTGAAAGTTAGCTGCTAAGAGTTAGCTGCTGAAAGTTAGCTGCTAAGAGTTAGCTGCTGAAAGTTAGCTGCTGAAAGTTAGATGCTAAAAGTTAGCTGCTAAAAGTTAGCTGCTAAAAGTTAGCTGCTAAAAGTTAGCTGCTAAAAGTTAGCTGCTAAAAGTTAGCTGCTGAAAGTTAGCTGCTGAAAGTTAGCTGCTGAAAGTTAGCTGCTAAGAGTTAGCTGCTGAAAGTTAGCTGCTGAAAGTTAGATGCTAAAAGTTAGCTGCTAAAAGTTAGCTGCTAAAAGTTAGCTGCTGAAAGTTAGCTGCTGAAAGTTAGATGCTAAAAGTTAGCTGCTAAAAGTTAGCTGCTGAAAGTTAGCTGCTAAGAGTTAGCTGCTGAAAGTTAGCTGCTAAGAGTTAGCTGCTGAAAGTTAGCTGCTAAGAGTTAGCTGCTGAAAGTTAGCTGCTGAAAGTTAGCTGCTGAAAGTTAGATGCTAAAAGTTAGCTGCTAAAAGTTAGCTGCTAAAAGTTAGCTGTCACATAAAGATAAATGATTTACAGTTTTCTGAATGATCACTGAAAACCTTGAAGAAATGGCTAAAAATGCGCAGCTAAAGGATAGCCCTAACATATGTGTTGAAGCTCAGGTTCGTCTTTTTTCTTTTTGACTTTCCCATCAGCCCCCTGGTTCCACAAACTTCTCCGCTGTGTGTCTGAAGTGCAACAGGTCGAGTGGCGACAGAGGCGAGTGTCAGATCTGTGGGCCCAGTGCGTCAGCTGTAGCCGCAGTGCTGCCTCCCTGCCAGCAGGCTACACTGTCGTCCCCGACCCCCCGACCTCCAATCAGGTCTCAGACGTCGATGACTCCGAACAACCTGCTGCAGCAGAACTTCTACGCCCCGGCCGCCACCGCGAAGGTGACCCGCAGCGAGGTGCTGCCTTTGCGCGTCTCCAACACCAGGGGGAGCGCGCTGCCTCTCAACAACAGTAGGACTCCTCTTTTAGCCGGAACGTCGGGCTGCTGCGGAGCCAGGAAGCCCACCAATGGGAAGAGGACAACATCCACCCAACAGCACGAGCTCAACGACCCCAGTGAGAAGATGATGATGATGATGATGATGATGATGATGATGTCATCACTTTGTTCAGACAAAACCGTTTTACGACCGTTTCCTCAACAGTCGTCCTGTCCAGTGACGAGGAGGAGGAGGAGGCAGACAACGCCAGCACAGGAAGTGTCAACAGATTGGACAGTGTCTCCCCTCGACCGGCCGACTCAGCCCACTCCTCGCCAGCGCCCTCTGGAGGCAGGGTGGAGGCAGCAGTGAAGAGCGTGGGCGAGCAGGAGGAGGTCAACATGGAGTTCTTTGAAGACGTGAACATGAAGGTTATGATTCCACGTCGGGCTCGGATGAAGGACCAGGTCGGTGGAAGAAAACAGAAAAACCACCACATCAGAAAATAAATAAATAAATAAATAAATCCAACCGTTGTTTCTTTTCACGGTTCTTCAGTTTGGAAATCAACCGGCCGAGCAGTTTCCTCCCAGAGCCAAGAAGTCCAAATGTACGTCGGAAAAGTGCGACAGCATCATACTGGAATGTCGGAGTGTCCGTGTGGGGACGCTGCGCAGGATGGTGACCAAGCCTGTGGTGGTGAGTCCTGCGACAGGGGGCGCTCACAGCACACACAGGATCAATGATGGGAAAAATCTAAGTTCTTCTTTCCTTCTTTCAGTTTTCCATCAAGCAGATCCAGCTGGAGACTGAAGGTATGACCCAGGTCCTCGGTCCAGCAGGTCCTCAGTCTGGTCCTCAGTCTGGTCCTCAGTCTGGTCCTCAGTCTGGTCCTCAGTCTGGTCCTCACTCTGGTCCTCAGTCTGGTCCTCAGTGGACCCCCGGTGTGGTCCATGTCCTCACCTGTCCTCCTGTCTTGTGTCTGTGACTCTCAGTGCCTGGACCTCAGCCCAGCACCATGGAGGTTTGTCTGTGGGCGTCGGAGCTGACCAGCTGTGAGTGGTGCAGCGTGAGGAAACTTCCGGTCCTCTTCTTCCAGACCACTCCCCTGGAGTGTGTACGTCTGCGCACGCAGCTGAGCATGAGCCCAGAGCAGGAAGGTCACTGGTACGACTGCAGCGGAGGACGTGAGTGGACAACACACACACACACACACCCTGTCAGACTGTTGACCTGACGGCTGTAGTGGCTGTAGTGTCTGTGGTCAGACGGCTGTAGTGGCTGGAGTGTCTGAGGTCAGACGGCTGTAGTGTCTGTAGTCACACGGCTATAGTGTCTGTAGTCAGACGGCTGTAGTCAGACGGCTGTAGTCAGACGGCTGTAGTGTCTGGGGTCAGACGTCTGTAGTGTCTGTGGTCAGACGGCTGTAGTGGCTGTAGTGGCTGAGGTCAGACGGCTGTAGTGGCTGGAGTGTCTGTGGTCAGACGGCTGTAGTGTCTGTAGTGTCTGTAGTCACACGGCTATAGTGTCTGTAGTCAGACGGCTGTAGTGGTTTCAGGTTGCTGTGAGTTGTTTTTTTTGTAGTATTTTGCTGTAAGTATTTTTAGTGTCAGATTGATGGATTTCCAAGTAAACATAGACCCAGTAGGTGGCAGTAATGAACCTCCAGTCTGGTTTGGTCTCAGAGTCGGACGAGAAGTACATCGTGTTGATCTTTGAGAACGGCCTGACGCTGAAGGAACACATGATCCTGGAGGAGATCCTGGCTGAGATCGGCCGGACCAACCGCCTGGAAAACTTTCCCACCAAGTTGACGTTCGACGAGGCTAACGCCCGTCTGGTCAACTACAACAAGGCCAGCAGGCAGAAGGAGGACAAGGTGATGACCTCACTGATGACCTCGCCGATGACCTCGGCTTCTCCTCACACTAACTGTATCTGTCGCCCTCTGCAGGCCAAACCAGGACAAACATCCTCCAAAGTCATCCCAGCCTGTAAGGTGACCCTGATGTCCAACAGCGTCCCAGGACGAACACGGATGTCCACCCGTCAACACACCAGCACCTTCTTCAGTGATGAGGACGAGGACATGACTGACCTGCAGCCCACCTTCTCTGGACCAATCATCAAGTGAGTCTCCAGGAAGTGGCCAGCAGGGGGTGATGATGAAGATGATGTCAGTGTGATGGTTCTCAAGCAGTGGTTCAAGGTCCAGGTCAGAGGTGTCAGGGAGCGTTCTGATTGGACCGTCTGTGCCCTGGACAACAGACCCCACAGAGCCTGGATCTGACACAGACCACCACGTCAGTCATTCACTGACCTTGGTCCTAGTCTCACCTGACTGTTGTGTCTCCCCCCTCCCCCCAGGCTGATGGTTTATCCTCCCCCTCCCTCCAAAGGTGGGATCTCGGTCACCAACGAAGACCTGCACTGCCTTAACGAGGGCGAGTTCCTCAACGACGTCATCATCGACTTTTATTTAAAGTAAGTCCAAAAGTCCGATTCTCTCCACGACTCCCTCATGTCTCCTCCCTCATGTCTCCTCCCTCATGTCTCCTCCCTCATGTCTCCTCTCTCTGCTGCAGATATTTAGTCTTAGAAAAGTTGAAGAAGGAAGAAGCTCAGAGGATTCACATCTTCAGCTCCTTCTTCTACAAACGACTGAACCAGAGGGAGAGGAGGAACCTCCCAGACACCAGCAACCTGCCGTGAGCCCCCCCACCCCCGACCACCACCACCCAAAAACACCACACCTCTTACAAGGCACAGTTAAGGGCTAGCCACCAACAGGCTTTATTAAAGACAGAAGTTAGCTAAGAGCTAGCTCCGTACGTAGCTAAGAGTTAGGCTAAGCTACAGCTGGTCAACATCTGAGGTTAACGCTTATGAAGTTAGCTTAAAGGTATCTAAAGGTTAGCTCAGACTCACATCTGAAACATCACTGCTAATGACATCACTATGGATGATGATGATGTCAGCGTTGATGACATCACTGTCTGGGATTTTCCTGCAGGATCCAGAAACGGAAGCACAACAGGGTGAAGACGTGGACTCGACACGTGGATCTGTTCCAGAAGGATTTTATTTTTGTTCCCATCAATGAGTCGTGAGTCTGCGCTCTGCTCTCTTCTGCCTATAGATGGCGCTGCCTCTGCACTAGGCTGACTGTGTTGGTGTTTTCCCCAGAGCTCACTGGTACCTGGCCGTCATCTGTTTCCCGGGTCTGGATGGTCCTGACCTCCCCTGTGACCCCCGCCTCCCCCCCGACCATCCAACAGCAGACGAACACATCCCTGATCACTGTCGCCCCCTGTCGCCGGACAGAGACGGCCTGGACGGCGGCTCGGAGCAGGCGTCTCCGGGCGGCCCCGAGGCTCAGACGGAGGTCCAGTTTGGGAGCGTCCAATCAGAGCTGGAGCAGCAGTTCAGCAGTGAGTGTCCACTGATGAGGGTGGAGACATGCCAGACTGAAGGGCCTCAAGGTCCTCAAGGTTCTCAAGGTCCTGCTATTCTCCAGACTAACATCAGATGTCACTGTTTCATCATTTTCTTTTCACAATAACATATCTGATTATGGTGACGGTCACGTGGTGACGGTCACGTGGTGACAGTCACGTGGTGACAGTCACATGGTGACGGTGTGTCCTTGTCCTTGTCCTTGTTCTTGTTCTTGTTCTTCAGGTGACTTCTACAGGATCAGTGTCTGTTATGGAGCCAGTAAAGATGAGGAGGAAACCTTCACCTTCTCTGACCACAGCTCCTCTCAGGTGACTCCTCCCTCACCTCCCTCACTCTGTCCTCAGAGACTCCACACTTTACCCCCTCTAGTGGTACTGGGGGGGGGCAAATATGTTCAGAGCTGCTCTTCCACTGCCTTACCCACAAGGCATGGGTGAGAAATGCTAACAGTTAGCATTAGCACACTGCTGCTACAAAGAAGCTGTTGTTGTTGTTGTTGTTCTTCTTGTTGTTGTTGTTGTTGTCGTTCATGTTGTTGTCGTTGTTGTCGTTCATGTTGTTGTCGTTGTTGTTGTCGTTGTTGTCGTTCATGTTGTTGTTGTCGTCGTCGTTCATGTCGTCGTTCATGTTGTTGTCGTTGTTGTTGTTGTTGTTGTTCATCTTGTTGTTGTTGTCATTGTTGTTCCAGGATGAGCTCAGTGAGGATGGGACTCTAACAGACGACCCTGTCACTGCCGGCAGCTCCACCTCAGCTGCTAAAGCCGCCATCTGCAAACAGTGAGTCTGTCCTGCAGGAGGCGCCACACTGTTGTTCTCCCCCTGTTTCTTATCTTCTGACCTCTGACCCTTCTTCTGTCCAGACCTTGTATCCTCATCATGGACTCACTGAGAGGCCCCGCCCGCTCCACTGTGGTCAAAACACTCAGAGAGTGAGTCAGTGGGGGGGGG